TATATATATATATGTGTGTGTGTGTGTGTGTGTGTGTATACATATACATATATATATATTATTTATAATATATGTGTATGTGTGTGCATTTGTGTGAGTGTGGTGTGAGAGGATTTTTGGTGTGTGTTCGAGTGTGTTTACCAATCAATGTCTTGCTCGAATGTTTCGTGTATATACATGGTGTACATCTCTGTGCTAATATGCGGCCATTGCTGATGAACCGCAGTCTTTACTCGCAATATTGATGTATAATCATTAGACTTATGTTGAATACCTCTTTAATTGTCCACTTCTGTATTGCTGGAACACTCAGTATACACGAGAGGCCTGTTAGTATTAATTCATGTACAACCCTCTACAACATTTCTGTATAAGCATTTTATTTCGCTTTCGATTCCTCTTTAATTGTCCACTGAAGCCTAGGGGTGACACGCGGCATAAACAAGAAGCTCATTAGTAATGCCCCATACACAACAGCCCGGGATACTGCTATTCATACATACCAAAGTGAAGTGCTCTCAAATCCTTTTTATTGGTCTATTACAGTCTACGGGTATCCTTAGTGATTACAGTCTACGGGTAACACTTGGTATACAAAAGGAGATTGCTCGTATTGGTCGTCATATAGTCCTCTATTAAGTTACTGTATATATATTCGATACCTTCCAATTCCTCTTAAATTGCTCACTGACGCCTATGGGTATACACGCGACGCTTACACATAATAAAGCCATATACAATAAGGTATTATACTACTGTATATGTAACCCATTTTGCTCCCCATTCCTCTTTAATTGCCCATTGTAGCCTACGGGTATACACTAGAACCTTACAAATAATAGACCATATACAATCATATATCATACTACTGTATATGTAACCCATTTCGCTCCCCATTCCTCTTTAATTGCCCATTGTAGCCTACAGGGAACACCTGGTATACACAAGAAGCAATGCGGGCCGTCAACCAAGCCATCGGACGCGTTATCCGTCATCGCAATGATTTTGGCGCCATAATATTTTGCGATGAAAGGTATGTAATTTCTTTTTCGTATGCTACGCATATGTATCCAAATTTGTTTTGCCATATATATATATATATATATATACAATTATATATAATCATGATCCATATCAAAATTATTATCCTGTTATATACCACTTTCCTTACTGCAATCAACTTCTCATGTTATTAACAACTATCCATACAACAATCGAAATTCCATATTATATACAACTTTCCTGATCTTATTATCTTACATGTTCCATTCTAATTTGATTATCGCAGGTTCGCTTGGGATCGCACACGGCAAGATATTTCGGCATGGGTGCGGCCTGCTATTCAGGTACGTATACGTATTTCGTATTTACGTACAACACGTACAAAACTTCTACATATGTATACGTATACATACGTATACCTATTTCTGTATTCTAGCGTGTGTGTTGGTACTGCAATACAATATTTCACTGTGAGTTGAACACTGTGTTTCTCTATTAAATTCATATCAAACTAGTTTTTCAAAGATCACAAACCGGCCGACAGCATTTATCCTACTTTTGAGTTGAATTCCTGGCTATTTGTCCTCTACGGATTTCAGGGTGTAGGGTTTAGGGTTCTAGAGTCAGTGTGTGTGCCTATCTGCTATTCCTTGAGCTAAAAACTTCGCATGTTTCTATTGACACCGCTTTCATTCAGTGCTTCTCCGACTTTGACAAGGCACAAGTGAGCCTGCAGAATTTTTTCAAGAAAATCACCGCTGACAATGCGCGAGGGGTGGGTGTCGGCGGAGCAGTGACGCGACAAAAGTACCCGAAGGTCCAGAAAGTAGGTAACCCTAACTATAAATAGATGGATCTATAATAAGGTTGGTATCCCTAACTATAAATAGATGCATCCTTTATATACATGTATATATATATATGTGTGTGTGGTGTGTGTGTATATATATGGATATATATATATATATATATGTGTGTGTATATATATATATATATATATATATATATATATATATATATATATATATAGTAGTAGTAGTAGTAGTAGTAGT